CCACAAACAGTGTATATCTGTACTGTTTGCTGTTTGCTGCAAGGAGGCAAATTGCTGGGAGGCAGAGGCAGATTCCCCCCCCCCCATTTTCCTCTCCAAAAGCTAGGCATGTCTTATACTTCAGAGCATTTTATACTCTGAAAAGTACGGTATATCAGATTACATATATCTTAATACTTCAGAAAACCAATCAAGATTAAAAATAGTCCGGTGGCATAGAAAAGAAGAAATGATAACAATTTCTGCCTCTCCTCATCACCTTTCATGCAAGAAGAATTTGTCATTCAAACCTGCATCTTGAACCGAACCCTAAAATGCATAGTGGTTAAATATGATAACCTTCCTGGAATCAAAAAGCCATAATGGAACCTATAATTCTTTCCACTTTGCCTTGCTTATGCATCTGAGCATCTTGGAGACCTGTCTTTATTGAACAGAAATTGTTTCTTTCTGCCCAATCTCAACTGCAAAGGAGCTATGTCTGATCAGCATTGAAAAACAATTTCAATGCTATGTCTGTCCAGCATTGGAAAAACAATTACAAAATTGTTGAGTTTGAAGGAGCTGTTTAGTCATTAAATACAATCGTTTGATCAATGCAGGAATCCAGTTTAAAGCATTAACAATAGATGGTTGTCCAGCCTTTGTTGAATATTCAGCAAACAGGAGATCATCTCCTCCATCTGTAATTGGCTCCATTGTCAAACTATTCTGTTAAAAGCTTCTTCTAACGCTTAGTCAAAACATCTTTGTTGGTTTATTCTATATATTATTCTATACTCCGTATCATAATTTTCAGATTATAAAGAGCATCTTCTGTGTGACATCTTTTAAAGAGTTTAAGGACATCCTTGAAAAGAGTTGAAATGTTAACTGCAAAATCATTTGAACTGCATCTTAGGATATACTAGGTAATAGTGACTGAATTCTTTTGTATCACTTCTAAGGAAACTGGAGAATTGCATACGTGACTGAATAGAAATAGAATCATAGGCTGGAAGGTCCCTTGGGAGCATCTAGTCCAACCCGTCTGCCCAAGGCAGGAGTCCTGATTCCATTCCAGACAAGTGATTGTCCAGTAAATCCCCTCCTCTAGGTCGGTGCTCCCCAACCTTTCCAGACTGGCGTTTGGGGGGAAGGAGAGGGGATGGTTCCATGTGAGTGGCTGGACCATCTACACGCATGTGCACAGCTCCATTTGTGCCAGGGATGCAACATGGAATAGGCAGTTTATAAGATAGCCGTTTCTGACTGGATATTAGAAACAGTAAATAATTACTCAGTGTTATGAGGGGCTCCCATTCACTGAATGTACTGAAGCAGAATATAATTACCATATTTTTCAGATTTTGAAGAGGCAATTTTTTTTAAAAAAAAATTTCCACTCTGCAGACATCCCAGAAATGGCCCGTTTTTTGCAAAAAATTGCCCTTTTGTTTTCTGAAAAAGGGCATGCATAGCCTTTAGGGGGCTTACAGAGTGCTCCTGGGGGCTGGGAAGAAGGCAAAATTGAGCAAAAAATGGCCCGGTTCTCACTCATTTCTGCCCTCCCCAGCCTCCAGGAGCACTCTGTAAGCCTCCTAAAGGCTTATGCACGGCCATTTTGGTGAAGGGGGCAGGGTTTCAGGAGGCAAAAAAATGCTGTCTTCAGTGTATAAGATG